CGCCACCGTGGGGCGAGTGGCTTGGCCTAAAGGACAGCTAGAGGGGGAGCAGAAAGGCTGTCTCCTGGGCTATCGTCTCCCTGTGGTACCCAAGGCAGAGCAGAAAGGGGGATGGGGGTGTTCAGGGTGGGGGGAGGAGGAAGGTCTGTCCCCCTCCTCCTCAGGCTTTTTGCTGTCGAGTCACCTCTCTGCTGCGTCTAACATAAAAAAATAAAATTTAAAAAAAAAAAAAACAACCAACTAAAATCACCACAAAAAGGGCAATACAAGTAGAGTAACGAGGTCCAAGACTGTGGGGGAGAGGTTTCCCTCTAAGCCCACCTTGCTGCTGGCACCCCTGGCAGCACCCTCTCCTCCAACTACACCACCCCTTGCTCTCTCCCACCTTCTGATCCCCCCCCCAAGAAGAGCTATCTTCTAAGATTTTGTCTCATTTCTGGATGATTTTGCAGCAGAAGGAGTTCCCACCACCCTGGGAGAAGGGGGTCCCACCGGCAGCCGGGGGTGCTTTGCCTTTGGCAGCTGAGATGGATTGAGTTCCCTTTCAGGCTGCCATGGAAGGGTTAAAAGGAAAAGAAAAGGCTCTAACCAGACAAAAATAGGGAGAAATCTTCGAGAGGAGAGAGAAGGAGGAGCGGAGAGAGGGAGAGAAGGAAGGAGGTGGAAGTGGAGGAGGACAGCAAGTGGCGGAGTGAGGAAGAAGAGGGGGAGGAGGAGAAAGGTCTAATGGCTTTTCCATTAATTGCACCATTACCCACCTTCATCCCCACCTTGCATCCCCGCATCCAGCCTCCCGCTCCCACGTGGCCCACCGGGAGAGGACCCTGGTGGCAGGGCCGAGGCTCGTTTCCCACGCATGAGCAAGGGGACAGGGCCATGGTCCCCAAGGGCTGGTGGCCTCCAGAGCCCACCCTGGCCACGCCACCATGCCGGCACAGCATACTGGGCACCCTCACTTGGGACGATGCACGTCCGTGATCTGTGCACTGGGGATATATGATGGTCCCCAAAGCGCCTCCCTGTCCGTGCACGTCTCCTCCCCATCCCACTTCCATGCAAGATGGGGC